TCACGCCGGGCGAGGAGCGCCTTGGGGCTGCGCGGCCACCCTGCCGGGTCTGCTGCCTGCCCGCCCGGGCTCTGCATCCAGGCTCTTGGCTTGAGATGCTGGGGTTGTGCCAGAGGCAAAACGCAACAGGGGTCAGCGTTCAGGTCCCTCCAGCCTGCGGCAGTCCCTGTGGCAAAGGCTTCCTGCTCCTTCCCTGTCCAAAGCTGACCCTGTCCAGCAGCTCCCTCGGGACCTCCCAGTGCTGCCCTGCACAACGCGGCTAGTGCAGCACGAAGACAAAGGAAAGCGTGGGCTCCTGTTGGAGACAGGGTGTAGCCCTGAATGTGGGCTGCGGGGCGAGGCTGGATGCGCCCGCTGAGCCTGCCACTCTGGGTCCTTCGCCAGCCCCTGGGCACAGTGTGGGCACACGGCGGCAGCTGGCAGTGGGTTTATGCCCTGCTCTGTGCTGGGCTCTGGCTGGCACAGGGGTACTCCCAGCAGGCTGTGTGGGGCTGCACAATCCCACGGTGACTTGCCCTGACTCTCTCTGTCTCACCAGCATCCACCAGCTGAGGAACAAGGTGTCAGAGGAACATGAGGTCATCAAGAAGAAGGAGCTGGAGACTGGCCCTAAGGCCTCCTATGGCTATGGGGGCAAATTTGGAACAGAGCGGGACCGAATGGATAAGGTAACAGTTGTAGAGGGCTTCCTTGGGCCCCAGTGGAAATGTTTTTCTCATAAAGGAAAAAAGGATCCCTGTTTTCTGGCCTGACCCTGAGGGGAGAGAATGGAAAGCTAGCATGGCTGTGCAGAGTCACACATGTCTAGGTAGTCCATAATCTGTCCCCGGGATTTGTTTGAACCCATGTGTATAATTTGTCTCTACGACTTCCTTGCAACACTCCCCTTAGCTGTGAAGAAGGACTTTCTGTGGCTTGTTTCAAACCTGCTGCGTAACAGTTAAATAAGGTGTCTCCCTACTTGGAGAACTCATGAACAATAATTTCCTCCTCATATTTTCCATTACAGACCTCTGTCATATCTTCCCAGGATGAAACCCTGGTTCATATGCCCTGTTTTCACATCAAATCTGTTTTATGTTTTCTGATAATCATCATCATGCTCCTTCCTGTACCTTTCAGCATTTAATAGTTCATTTTTTTTGGAAGTGAGATGGTAAGATTGCAGTAGTATTCAATATATGGGGGTCACTGTGGGTGTGCAAGATACCAGGATGGCAGGGTGAGAAACAGGCATCTCCAGGAGACCAAAATGGAGCAGCCATGCTAAGATTCTTCTGCTGGAGCAGAGTGAGGATGATTTTGTTGAGCAGCTCCTCAGCCTCTGTCCAGTCTTACCAGGATGTTGCAAGTGTTCGGCCTCAGGCCCTTCTCCCGAGAAGTGTGTGCAGTTCCTGGCCACACCACCTCCTTGCAGGAGGCAGGAGGACCCTGGCCTGGCCTGTGGCAGGCGTAAGGGGTGATCCCCACCAGGACTGCTGACCCTCACTCTCGAGCACAGAATGTAAGGAGCGGGTGCCCAGCCTGCTCCTGGTGGGTTTTCAGTTGTGCATGCCTCTGTGTACTTTTCTCCTCAGTCTCCCCATGTGATTATCCACCACTCCACTGGTATTTGGGAGCAGCAGGTATTCAGCATCCCATGGTTTGCACGATGAGCTGGCAGTGGGGCTGGTTGTGTGGGATGGCTGCCCTTGAAGCTGCATCACAGGTCTCAGTGCAGACTTGGTACTGGCAAAGGCTGTCCAGAAGGCAGTGCCACCACCAGCACGGTCAGCTTGGACCTTGTGGCTGCAAGCATCTTGGCAGTGGGGCAGAGCAACTGTGTGGTGCCTATGTCTGTCCACCCTGCCAGTCTGACTGTGGGTGCTCATGTCACACTGTCTCTCTCCTCAGTGCGCAGTGGGCCATGAGTACGTTGCTGATGTTGGGAAGCATTCCTCGCAGACAGATGCAGCCCATGGCTTTGGGGGGAAGTATGGCGTGCAGCAGGACCGCGCTGACAAGGTGTGTTGGCCAGGGCAGCTGAGACACGTACTTGCAGCCTGTGCTCAGTGCTGCCCTTACGCTATGTTTAGGATTGTGGCTGCAGTTTTCAAAGTGCTGGTGGGTGCAGGTCTAGGCATGCCAAGCGCCACGGTCTCCACTGAAGCCCGCAGCTCACCTGTGTGCAAGACAATGACTGATGACAACTTGCAGGGCACTTGTGAAGATTAACTCTCTGGTGTGCTTTAACGTGTTTGCGCTGTCCTATCTGGGCAGCACTGTGTTTGTCTTGGGGGCTGTGGTGTTTTGTATCTCCAAACCCCCAAGCTGTGCCATGCACAGTGGCTGGCCGTGGCAGGACAGGATGGGGACAGCAGGATGCCATCCCTCCCATGCGCATCCTGGTGTCAGACGCTGCCCAGCCGCCTTGCCTGCTGACAGGATGTGGGGTGAGGATTGTGGCCTTCTTACTGGAGCGCATGGGCTCTCGCGAGGGCCTGTTCCTGGGCACGCTGCCACGTGGACAGCAGGAGCGGTGTGGGAGGCTGAGGAGGTGTGCACCAGCTGAGGAGTGGCCAGGCGCCTGCACATTGCAGCACAAGGCAGGGAGCAGGGTCCCAGCCTGGCTCTTGGAGAAGGGCGGGCGATACCCAGCTTGGCCCTCAGGACAACTGACATTTCTCCCCTTCTTGTTCCAGTCAGCCCTGGGCTTTGAATACAAGGGTGAGGTGGAGAAACACTCGTCCCAGAAAGGCAAGTCCATGGGCACATGTGGCCCCTTCATACTTTGCCCAGCTTCTCTTCTGCTCCCAATATCCTGTGCTGTCTGCTGTGGCACAGTCTCCTTTGTTTATCCCCCTCCTGTCACTTGTCTCAGATTCCTGTTCCCAGTCAGTCACCTTTGCCGCCCCATTCCCTGCTGTCCTGTCACCACCCTTCTGTTGTACATTCTGCTTGCCTCGATGTTTTGCTCCGATGGAAACGACATCGTGGCTGAGCAGAGACGACACCCCCACACGCATCCCCCACTGGATAGCTGATGCTCCCTTGCCTCTAAAAGTCTTTTTGAGCAACTGCTCCAGAGGAAACCCAAGCACTGTAGGACATAAGTGATTTCTGAAAAAGCAGCATGTGAGAAAAAAGGCACAACAATGGATATGGAAACAGAAGCCTATACAGCACCCAAACTTTTGCAGAATTCTGGAGATGATTCAAACGAACTTTGACGTGCACATACAAGCAGCTGTATTCATTAAGAACATTGCAAGAACTGAAGCTGAAGACATTTTATACATTCTGCAACCAAGAGAAGATTCGAGGTGAGGTCTGTTACAGATAACCATGGGGAATACTGCATCACCAAGAGAAGAAGAATTGAATCGTGATCATTTCAGAGGAAACTATAAAAGAAGGAAGATGTTTTGAGGCATTCTTGGTTCATCTTAAATGAATGAATCGCATACAGTTGTGCTACATTAACATATTCCCAGACAAGAGATTATATACTAGATTTCAGACACAGAAATTCGTCAGGCTATGTAAAACCACAGAAATCGCTCAGGACAAAATGAAAATACTAGAAATAGGGTAAGGTGTTTGGATTGTTTTTCATAAGAATTGTGTCCATACTGTAAACTCCAGCATGAGGGTAACAGTCCTAAAATCTGTATCTGCTGAAAACAGCATCCTAAAAGCTCCATTTCATAATGGTCTAATGGGTAAATTACAGTTTAATCAAGGTAAGTTTAAGAAATTTCTAGGACTTACAGACTCACCCTTAAGTGACTGAGCTTCTGTGAAACAAAGTGCCACCCTTAAATACAAGTTTTTTTCATGCATATTTCTCTATATCACAGTCTTCGTGGATTAATAAGGCTGACTTTGCTGGAGGAGCCCCAACTCATTCCTGTGAAACACAGACCTGTAAGAATACGGTCAGGGAACAACGAGGGGTAACTGTGATTTACTCCTTCTGAAGGGTAGGATTTGGAAACAGAGCTGGTAGACTAGGTCTCTGAAAGGAAAGTGTCTCAGCCAGCAGTTGGGGTAGAGGCTGAAATGTCTTAGGACACCATTCAATAATAACAAGGTAGCCCTTAGAAAATAACTGAACACAGCTGAAGTAGTTAATACATTACTAGTTTAGAAGATGGAAAAAGGGGAAGCATAAGGAAAACAAGCTGTGCCTCTATCACCTAATGGTCAAGCATGCCAGAGACGCTCTGGGCGGGGAGAGCTGCAGCATGTCTGCAGAAATGTGGGTTTCAGCCTTTGCTGCAGCATCCGGAGTCAGTGATTTCCTTGTAGAAATTGAGATTCCATTATAGCAAGTGTAAGCTGTGCAACAGAAGCTTGTGATTTCATCTATACTTTCAATATGCATATTGACAAACCTTTTCAGAGGCTGGCATCCCACAGGTTGAAATCCTTGCTCTGGAGATGTGTGAGTGGGTGGGTGCCCAGGCTGTCAGTATCCAAGTCTTGCCTTGGCTTTGTGTCCCGGGGTGGCTGAGCTCCTACTGCCTCCCCAGCTGCCCTTGGCATGTCGCTTTTCTTCCTTGCCCTCTCAGCCTGCTGTGTCTCCTGCAGCCCACGGCCCTCAGGCTCTCTTGCTGCCATGACCCACTCTTGCCCTGTGCACCCATTCCCATGGCCCCTCATCTTCAATGGCCTCACGGTGCTCCCTGCCATCCACTCTGTCCCCTCCAAACCCATTGCTATTTCTAGTGTTTCCATCATCCCTGCTGCTCTTCCTCCTCCCTGCTGCTGCTCCCCAGTGCTGCTCCCCATCTTTACCCCCTCCCCTCACCAGCCCCATGCTCGGGGCAGCATTTCATTCCATCCACCACTTCAGATTACTCCAAGGGCTTTGGTGGCCGTTATGGTGTGGAGAGGGACAAGGTGGACAAAGCAGCAGTGGGATTCGACTACAAGAGCCAGGCAGAGAAGCACGACTCTCAGAAAGGTGAGCTGGGGGAGCCCAGTGCAGCAGGCGGTATCAGGACTGGCGCCTAGGAATATGCCCGCTGGGGCTGTGGGGCACTGTGCTTGGTTTTTGAAACCTGCTGTGTGAATGGTGGAAAAGCTACGGGGAGCTGTTGGGTGCCCACTACTTGCAGAAGGGGAATGGAGCAGGTAAGGAAAGCCATTGCATGGTGCATGACTGCTGAAAAACTTTGCACTAAATGATGAGGAGCAGCAGATTTCTATGGACACAGCGATCTCCTGGGCAGTATGTCACCAAAGGAAGGTGCAGGGGAAGCCCAGGCAGGTGCTAATAGCAGGTGACATGTCCCAGGGAGGAGGGAGGACTGTTGCTGCAGCCACCAGTGGGGAAATCTGGCCTTGCTCCATGTTTTTCCCTAAGTCCTGGGCAGGGAAAACTATTGCCCCTGTGAGAACAGCCTGAACTCACGGTGCTGCCACTTTTCTCTTTTTCTCCCTTCTCTGTGCTCTTCCATGCCATGATCTGGATCCCTATGGCTGAAGACTATTCTGTGGGCTTTGGTGGGAAATTCGGGGTCCAGAGGGATCGTCAGGACAAGAGTGCCCTTGGCTGGGACCATCAGGAGGACATGCAACTGCATGCATCCCAAACAGGTAGGGCAACGCTGCCAGAGGTGGCGGCACAATTTTCTTGGAGCCCACGCAGACCTAGAGCTAGTGGTTCACACTTGACAGAGATCCAGCTGCTGACAACTGAACATGTACAGCATGTTCTGGAGCAGCTGGGACTTGTGAACCCCCAAAGCACAAGGGTAAACTCTGCCAGAGTAGGTGCATGCTTGGATCAGTTCAATGCAAGACGATGAATGCAAGCCCCTGAATCAGGCTTCCCAGACTATACTGTGCTTTCTTCGTGAGGTACATTCCTGATCATAAGCTCATTCAGAAGGTGAGCACATGGGAATGAGGCAAAGCAGGTTCCAGGAATGGTTTGACTACTGCATGTTTAACTTCCGTGAACGAGGCCGCTCTGCACTCAAATGGCATGGCTGGCTTCTCACCCCGGTGCCTTGGAAGCAGATTTGCCAGCGTTACGGCACTGAATGCCTGTGCGCTTCGCTGAAGGGAATGAAGGATTAGCCTTAAAAGCTACTGTCCAGAATGTTTTGCATCTATTATCTCCATTTAGTTCCATATGTGACAAGGTGCAGGAAAAGCTAACTCATTTCATTGGTCACAGCACGCTGAAATTGGAGATGCACACAGAATATAAACGATTATAAAATAACCTCATTTTTTTCCATACAGACTACGCCAAGGGGTTTGGAGGCCGTTACGGGGTCCAGAAGGACAGAGTAGATAAGGTAAGACTGCATGCTGCAGCCTGCAATTGCTTCCCGCTAATCACTGCTCTTTGCACTGCTGTCAGAGAAGGGACTTCCCAGATGGAGATGAGGTCCCACTGCTCAGTGCACAGCTATTGCAAGGGTGAGGGAACTGGCCCAGTGTAAACTCCAGCAGGTGCAGGGGAATACAGCCTGGGGAGACCATAATGCAAGGAAGAAAAAGCTTCTTCCATTCTCAGCTGCTTTTGAATCATTCCACTCTTGGACTGAACATGCATAGACCTGCTTTCTCTTGGGCCAGGATTTAATAGCAGAGCCAGTGAAGAGCTTTCTAAGGGTATCAGACTGTGCCCTCCTGGAAATCTAGTACTGTTTGAGATACTGGGAGTGTTCTGTCTGGCTGCTTGCTGTCACTCCTGCAGGCCCTGTGTGTACCGATACAGTCAGGATGAGCAGTGGTAGCTCCTTGGAGATAAAATTCCGTGAGTGTAGCCTTGTGAGAAGTCTGAGAGGCCACGGGCTGTTGCACCGTGCAGGAACTGTCTCTTACACAGGAGAGGTGCTGGATCAGGCTGAAAGCCCATCTGGCGTCATGTCCCCAGCACTGACGGGGAGGTGACTGTCGTGCAGAGAGCAGTATGCATACAGAGTGGTTCTTGCCTTGGACTGCCTCCAGTGAGAAGGTGGTATTGCTGTGCTGCCATTCCTCTAGCTGTTCTTACTCAAGGTGTAATGTTCGTTCGCAGCTGTCACACCCACACATAAATCAGGCTTCCTAGAAGCTGGCTTGAATCTTTGGTTCCTCCAGTTGCCAGCTTGCAACCTGGTCTCTCCAGTATCTGGCGCAGATCTATGGCCTCTGTGGTATCTGTTTCCTTATCCTCTTATGCTACTCAGCAGCTGGCACGGCTCTGTGTATGAGTGACTGACCCCATATCACACAGCCTTAACTGATGGTGAAGTCTGGCCATTCCTCGTGGTGCTGTCTGTTACTCACCAGCTTCTCTGTTACTTGTGACCTTCTGCAGGTTTTTCTGTCCTGTCCAAGAGTTTCTTATGGTCTGTTCAGTTAGCTAAATCTCAGGCCAGGGCCTAGTCAAAAAACCCAGCAAGGATGGGATTGGCAGGGATCAACCTTGCATGAGAAGAACTCATCCAGTTTGCTGGTTCAAGTTTTCTGTCTGGGCTGAAACCAGGTAAAGGCTCATCTACAGTCAAAATGCAGACTGTTGCAGGCACTTGAGTTAACACTGTGCTTTGGCAGGCGACCCTTCAAGCTTGTTCAGGAGGGGGGGTCTTGCCAGTGGATGATGATCTGCATGGATGGGGATAACCTAAAAGATGAGAAACCTGGATGATGGTGGGGCTTTGAGGCATTTGGAGGAGGAAGTGAGGGTACCCCTTCCTTGAACCATACTTTTTCTGTGGTTGGGCACAGTGCTAATGGCACAGTGTTGTGCCTGGTACAGTACCAACATCGCCATACTCAGGAGCTGGAGGAAGCAAGTTAGAACCTTTCTGCAGGGCCCTGAGCCAAGGAAGGACATAAACACACACCTGTAGCAATCCAGCATGTTCCTTTCCATGCTGCATGTGCAGGCTGGACTAGCAGCAGAGTGGGAATAGCATCCTGCCCATGCACGAGATTAGCATGGTCTATGAATTTAACAACAGCAACTGGAGGTACATTGTCAAAAGGCAAGGCGTCATGCATATGGCAGAAGGCATGCAAAGTCAGATGAACACTTGTGCAAAAATCAGGGCTGTGGGTCATTTGAGGAGCAGGATGCAGAGGGGGGATAAACAGTTCTTGATCAGCGCAAAGTGAAACATGGGTTTGTGCATTTTGAGAATATTGAAGCATAATCCAAGATGGTAAAAATAAGGATATTTGAGCAAGTAATTGATTGCCTGGTTTTCAGGCACTGGGATTATTTCATTGCTCCAGAGTAGAGCATAATATACCACCAGGCTCCTTTGATAAAGTTTTGAACACTCAGCGTAGGATTCAGCTCTCACACTAAGACTCCTAAATTTAAATGCTGTCATATAAACAACATGTCCAAGTCTTTGCCGTGGTCTGTATAGACCTGGTTCTGAGCCTGCAGTGCTGTTTGCCTGCTCAGGTGTGTTTGCCTTAAGGAGAGCAGAGCTGCTCTCTAGGCTCCACTTACTGTAGCAGGAACTTGGCCACCCAGCCCATTGGTGACACCTGCAGGCAGAATCCTAAATGTAGCTGAATTAGTCTGAAAGCTGGAGCCTACCTGCAGTTTCCTTCTTGTATGAAATAGTTTTCTTATGAAAGTAGATAACCCCCCTCTATCTCACTTCCTTTTTGCTGCAAACACCCCATGGTGGCTAAGCCCCACCAGTTTAGCCATCTCTTCACACCTCATAACGCCAGCGATAGGTCAGATGTTCATGCAGGTTTTCACTTTGATGCTTTCCAGCCTGTGCTGCTGTATACACATGCTGCAGGCGACAACCTGCCGAAGGGACGCATGTTTTTCAGGGTTAGGCAGCTGCAGCTGTGCATTCCAACAGGGAGGTGCTTCCATGCCTCATTCCACTGGGAGTGCAGGGGACGGATGCATCGGGTCCCTGGACCTCAGGAAGCGGTAGGCTGCCAGGCATCCACTCAGCTCTTTGCGGGGTTACCAGCAAGTGCTTCTGCCTTGAATGCCCAACCTTGCTGTCCTGTGCAGCAGTCATCCTGCCACTGTGCAGCCTCCTCCACTCGACCCCCTGCAGCCTTTGCAGCACTCAGAGTGCCTCCCCTCTCACAGGAGCAGCCCTTGCCTTGGGCTGGAGAGCAGCAGGCATTCCCACAGTGCAGGGAGGCATCAGGAGAGCAGGGCTGCAGCCAGCAGCCTCCGCAAGGCTGTGGCAGTTGTATAGGTGAGGACAGATACAGCTGGGAACAAAGCTTGCGGGTGCCAGGTGCCAGTAGCCAGACCCAGACCCAGCAGGGGAGCTCAGCACTGGCCTCGCCTAACAAGCTGGAAACTTCATTCACTTCCTCTTGCAGAGTGCCGCCGGCTTCAATGAGATGGCAGCTCCCACTTCCTCATATGAGAAAACAAGACCAGTAGAGGCAGGTGAGAACTGAGTACCAACCTGGGGCTTGGTGGGAAGCTGTGGGCCTCATGGTCCCTCTGTGGCAGCATGCTGGCAGGCATGTGCTGTGGTGGGATGTGGATTTAACTTGTGTTGAGGGGCAGGAGCAGGGGGCTGAACTGCAAGTTCCTCTGGGAGAGACAGAGGTCTGGGTTTCTCCTGGCTGCTTGGGATGGTGGAAGGGAGCCACTGGGCAGGCTTGATCAACTGTTTTCTCCACAGGAGCTTCCAGTGGCACCAGCAGCCTGCGGTCACGGTTTGAAAACATGGCTAAGTCAGCAGAGGAGGAGAGCAGAAGGCAGGCAGAGGAGGACCGGGTGAGGCGGCAAGCTCGGGAGTGCCAGGCGGCTCGGCGGAAGGTGAGCCATGGCCATCTTGCCACATCCTCCAAGGCTTGCGAAGCAAACTATTCCTCAGGGCCATGCATCTCCATGTCCTCCTACCTCTTTATGGTAACCTCTTGCCTAAACTGCTTCCCTGCAACTGCCAGGGACTGCCATTGAACTTCACAGCTGTCACCAGATTTTCCCTTTTGGCACACAGAGCAGGATGTGCCTGCACCCAGCCATGACACACACACACACACACACACCCGTGCTTTGGCCTCAGCTCCTTCTTGCCTCTAGCGCCTGGCAAACACTGTGCAATCACACCTCCCCAGTATGGCCATCCCAGCAGTCTGCATTCAGATTGCAGTTGGGTTGCACCCAAACCCTTACATTTACAGGACCGCCCTCTATGTTGTGCTGTTCTGCATTCAGTGTGCAGATAAGGTTTCACCAATAAAGCGCTCCCGGATACATTCCCTCCCTGAGGCCACTTTCTGCAGACCCCATAGTCATTACAGGCCGGGTCGTGTCCAGCCGCTAGGGGAGGTTTATGGGAGCTGGAACAGATTTCAGCTGGAGGAAGACTGAGAGTTGCTCTGTTGGGAATGGGACCAGACATTGCTCTGGACCTCCTTCAAAGGGACTGAGGAGACCTGGTGACTTTTCTCCAGCAGGACATCCCACAGAGAGAGAAGGACCACAGAGAAGCAGCCCCTGCCACAATGCCAGCAAGGGCGCCTGGGAGCGCCGAGCGAGACAGGCCTGTGTCACGAGGAAAAGAGGTGCCAAGGCGGGCTGGGAAGAGCCGGGAAGGGGAGCAGGCAGGGGGACTGTGCCTGAGAGGGGGCCATACTTTACAGACAGCCCTGCAGGAAGAAACGGGGTGCAGCCACAGCGTGGGAGAAGCTTTGGAAGGAGTGAGGGGGGAAACTTTGGGATGGTGATGGGACAAGGCTGCACAGCACCTGACACCATGAGATGGGCTCCTGGAGTCGGTCAGTGCAGTGGCAGTACAGCAAGCTGTAGCCAAGTACGTGAGAGAGGTTCAAATACATGAGCCCTGAAGGTCTTCACAGCAACCCCAGGTGCCAGTTCAGCACACACCTAATGGTTGAGCTGTTTCTCCATCGTGCAGAGAGTGATTCTCCATTTGTTTCATGGTAGCACTAAAGGCACCTGCAGTGGAGCAGGCTCGCTTGTGTTGGGTGCTGTGCAGCCATGGGAGAGCTGCTTGCGGTGGATGCTTTGCAGGCAACTTTTCTGTCACTTTCTCACTTCATGGCAGGAGGCAAAAAGGGAGGATGAGGAAACACCACCCACTTTACCACCAAGGCCAGCAGATCTGGGCGAAGAGCTGTGCAAGATCCCCAGCCAGGATCAGCCCATCTACAGTGAAAGTTTGGATGTTGGTGGAGACTATGAGGAGCTGCCAGAACCCTCCGACTACTGTGACAGTACCAGTGCAGGTGCTGACTATGAGGAGCTGCCAGCAGCCTTGGAAAAGCTGGATGCCATCTATGACCAGGGAGAAGATGGAGGTGAGGACTATGAGGAGATCCTTCCTGAGGAGCCCAGCCAGCCTCAGCCCCACCTGGGTGAGTACTGATGGAAGAGCCCATGTCTTGGGGAGCTTGTATGTCTCCGCTCACCTCACTGGATGTATATGACAGACTCCAGAGGGAATTTGTATCTTGAAGTCTACTGTGGTCAGGGTAGCAGCCCATGATGATGGAGACTCGGTCATCTCCCACTCCCTTGCCCAGCTCCAATGTGCAATATCAGCTGCATGGGATGCTGGGACAGGCAGCAAGTATCTCTGCTGGAGCAGGACTCAGGCAGGAGGACCAGAGGGCTGCTGTAGGTTCTGAAGAAGCTGGACCTGGACTGATGCTGTTGGTGTACTGTTTCCTGGCAAGGGACTGCCAGTGCTGCATGGAGGCCTTGGAGGTGTCCTCTTAACTCAGCCTGAGCAAACCATGAGACCTGATCTGGTGGTGTCTCCTGAGTGTGAGGAGTGCAGGGTAGTCTTCCTCCAAGCACATAAGCAAACGGTATGGGCTGCAGTTGATGTTTCTGTCACAGCTTTGCTGGTACTGGAGATGGTAAGTGGAGAGGCTGGAGTCATGTCCAGCCTTTTTCTTGGGAGAGGAACATGAAGCATCAGGACCCTGCCTCTCTCCTTGCTTTCATCCATGGTACACCTGTCCTTGTTGATAGGGTTTGGATGTGGTTCACCCCAAGGCTGACAGCTGGGTGGAGGGTGGCACTGACCAGATCTACATTGTCTGCTTTCAACCTTTTTCTCATCTGCCCATCCTGTCTTCTGCAGGGGAAACAGACAATGTTTATGAGGTGGAGATCCCTGGGACCTGTGCAGTGGCTCTCTATGATTACCAAGGAGGTGAGTCTGCCATCCGGGCTGTGGGAACAGGCACTGGGAACTGTCTGGGGCAGTGTTGCAGGGAGGTGGGTGGCTTACACCGTCAGCAGTGGTGAAAAGATTTCAACTTGGTGGTTAAAATTTCTTCCTTTTGGAAAGCAGAATGAGACCTGACTTGGGACCACAGAAACTTCATCTTTCATCTGTGAAGTCTTGCTTTATCTGTGCTGTTTGATGGGGGTTGAATGAGATGAACTGTGAGGGTTATCAGAATGCTTGTTCTGTATTCTCCTGGGGGTTGGAGGAGGGATGTAAAACCAGCTCTCTCTGGGGTTATCTTTGCATTGTGAGTATCTTTTCTGAACAATTTTTGCAGACGGAGATGATGAGATTTCTTTTGATCCTGATGACACAATCACACACATCGAGATGGTAGATGAAGGCTGGTGGCGGGGGCAGTGCCGGGGCAAAGTAGGCCTCTTCCCAGCAAATTACGTGAAGCTTCTGCAGTGAAACCAGCATTGTCCAAGCTGATGCCTTCCAAACTTTCGCCTCTTTCTGCTTCAGCCTTTTACATGTTATTAGCTTAATTTGGCCTGCCGTGTCTACATGCAAGAAATACCAAGGAGCAAGCTGGCAGTGTCTGAGGGAAAGTTTCGGCTTGTGCCCAGGAGCACTTTGGTTCCTATCGACTACCAGATGGAAAAGGTGGGATGGTTTAAGGGCATATGAGTGTGAAATAAGACGTCTTTTCTACCTAAGCTGTCCCACATACCAATCAGCAAGCTTGCAGGACAAGCGTGTCCATTCCTATTCCCAACAGGGAAATTCACAGAAGAGAAACACCAACTCTAATCCAGTCAAGGCAGAAGGGACATGAGCTATGGGAGCTTTTTAAGCTGCTGTGGCCCTGAATCTCATCCTACCCAGGGGTCAAGGAAAAGCACATTGTGAAGACCAAACTTGCCTTTGTTCCCAAGAAGGGTTTCCACTTGCAGGATGAACCATGTCTGCAGCACAGGGTAGAGAAATACAAACCTGGTCTATCTGGGCAGATCTCAGGGCTGGAGCCTGGGAACATTTGACCATCACAGTGAACAACGCTGATACACACTTGGCGGTAGTGAGCTGTTCCATTAAACAGGAGACGTGTGTGCTGGCTCAGTGAAAGTGTAGGATGATCTTGCTAAGGTTTTCCTCTGTGTGCCAAGAACACTGTTGGGAGATGCGTCATTTCTGGGGAAAACCTTGAAAAATGAAGGTAAAAATTAGATTATTTTCTGAGAAAAATTATTCTGGAAAATCTGTCTTGGAGCAAAAGAAAAATACTGAAAGGCTTCACTTAACAAAGAGTATGTTAATAACTGTCTTGGTCCTCATCCAGGCAGCCCATCAGAGGAATGTTGTGCTAGGGAAATCCTTTCAATCTAGCAAATCAATCACAATAAGTGCTGCTTGATACAGGCAGTGGAATATTTTTAAGAGCGCTCCATTTTTCCTGTTAACTGCTCTGACAGTATATATAAGCATATGCATGCAGGTGAGACGGGAAGAGCCGTCCCATAGCTTGTCTCTAGCCTCAGTCAGTGCTAAAGGTAGGTTCCCCCATCCCCTGTTTGGCTCAGCCCGTTCTCTACTGTTGGGGAGTCTCTGTGCTGATCTCAGGCCTCCCCAGTGTGGCAGTGAAATAGTTAACGCCTCAAAGGCCTTTGCAGGACTCGCTAGTTAAGAAGTATTTGCAGGTAATGGTCTCGCCAATTTAATTAACAAAGGAGTGAATTCTTTGTTAAAGGGTGTGCTGGCTAGAGCCTCCTCCTCCGAAGAATGCTACTGTTATTTACAATATCCTGCTTATCTGACACAGTCTGGCGTAACCTAAAGGTACATGAAGGTTGTAACTGCCCCATTTGGGCAGAGTTGATGTAAGCAGCGTCTCTCACTGCTGCGCTGCGCTTTCCTTTAGAGCTGTAGTAATAAACTGCTTCTGTTCTGGCCTGACATTGCATCCTGGTTCTTCTGGGACAGCACGTGTGCCCTGTCTGTTGCGGGCTCAGTTCCTTGCACAGTGAAAAGGGCCCCTGGTTCTCGCCCTCCTTCATCACAGGTGGGAGAAGGTTGAGCAGGTAGGAAGCAGGACAAGAGGAAATTTTTCATGTTTAATGTTTAAAGAAGTTTTCAGTAACAACCCAGTGCAAACTGAAGCTCTCCCTTGAACCAGTATATTCCAGGCTAGATGCTCAAGATGCCACTGTAGGAGTTGGTTGTTTTTCCTTTGTGGCATGCAAGTACCATTGCAACAGGAATAAATCGGGGACACGCTGAGTAGTACAGCATGAGAGAAGCTGCAGGAGCACCCCAGTGCAGTGCCAGCTGCCAACAGCGGGGGTGCAGAGGGTCCCACTGTGACACCTTTAGAGTTCAGCCCAGCTCACAGGTTGGTTCTGGACTATCCTGCACTTGAATAAGGGTGTACTACCTGGAAGGTAGCAGAGCACCCCTGCCCAGTGTTCAATATGAGAAAAATCATGATCTGTGTCTGTCCATTATGGGAAAGACATTGTGATTCAGGTTAGAAGTTGTCAGTTTTAATGCAAATTTTATGGAAGTTTCTGGTTTGGGGGTTTTGGGGTTTTTTTTCCTCTTAAATAACTTCCCCAGTATTTTTTTCCTCATGCAGTTCACCCTTCATTTCCTGATGTGCCTTTCCAGGGGGCTCTCCAGAATGGGCCTCACTGTTGCAGATTCTCTTAGGTGTCCTAACGAGACTCTGAACTGTGAGTGTTCCAATAATTTTTTACAGTCAAGGGTGCGTAGCACATAGAGCTGGCTGAGAGGCTTGCAACCTGTTTGTGTACATACAACAGGCCATCCCAACACATGGGTTACGGAAACACTTTTTCCCTGAAGAATAAAATCTGTGTATTGTGCACCAAGAAGAACTAGCAAACGTCTCCCAACAGGCTGTATGCCTCATAGGCCCATTTTCTGACTCTCCAGTAGGTTTCTTTGGGAACAGACTGGACTTTGCTGGGTATCTCTTGGGAACTGAGCTATGGATGAGCATGTTTTGGGTCCTTCCAGCCAACATGCCCCTCTATGGCACAGCTGCAGAAATGCTGCTGTGGCTGCAGGCGTGTGGCTGGCGGGGGGGGGCCCCAC